CGGACAAAACGTTGTAAAAAAGTCGTCGCATGGACAAAACGTCGAGGGACAAATAGTTGCACGGACAAAACGTTGTAGGGACAAATAGTTGCACGGACAAAACGTTGTAGGGACAAATAGTCGTACGGACAAAACGTGGTAATAGTCTATAATTTGCTGTATATTTGTATATCAGAAAATGAATTTAATCTTCAGAATATGAGCTTTATATGTTGTCGTCAAAATTAAAGTTCAGTGAAACTTTTTGACTAGGCAAATTTAAAATTTGATCGAATTTTAATTTTTATCAGAAGATATATGTATCGCAGGTCAATCTTTGACCAGATCAATCTTAAACTGGCCTGATCAAAATTAGGCGAATCTCGGATTGGACTAGGCCAATTCGAGATTAACCTGCGACATATATATATATTTGAGACAACAGGACTGCACATAGTCAAGCATCCTTTAACAAATACAGGATATGTCACATATTAAAAAAATGTTCTCACAAAAGGGAAAACCTTTAGTGATATATGATGGCTTTATTTATACATTAGAACGACAAACAACAATAAAATGTATTTTTCGATGTCAAGATCGTGATTGCAAAGGTAAATTAATCGTACGAGTAATGCTAAATTGATTTAAATAACTACAACTTTCTTTTAAGCTCGATGTCATACAAATCTTACTATGGATTCATTTTTGTCGGAACCAACCAAACATTCTCATCCTCCAAATCCAGAACGCATTCCAGCACTTGAACTTAAAACCGAAATCAAAATTAAAGCAGCAACATCCGACGAAGCTTCAAGCTCAATCTCGCATTCTTCAATGCGATCGTTGCCTTTAAATGCAGTTAGCAATTTGCCAAAGGATGATTCATTAATGAGAAGTATTCGACGACAACGTTCATCACCATATTCTGATCCAAATAGTCGTTTACCTGACAATTTAAGAAAAACAGATCGTGGAGAAAAATTTATATTATATGAAGATAAAGATATGATTATTTTTACCACAAGAACCAATTTATCTTTATTGAAAGAATGCAAGCATTGGTTTGTAGACGGGACATTCAAAGTTTGTATAAATTGAATTTTTCTGTAGTTCATCATTATTGTTTACCTAGGTGTGTCCAAACGATTTTTATCAATTATTTACAGTACATGCATTATTGACGTCGACGATCATTCCACTTGCTTATGTGTTATTAATTGGCAAAAGTGCGGCTGATTATACGAAGTTCTTTCAAAAACTTTTGGAAGTGGATGATTTTGCGCCTGAATCAATACTTAGTGATTATGAATCAGGCACAATCAAAGCAATTAAAGATTTTTTTCCTAATGCAATACATAGGGGTAAACTATTTCTCGAATGTATGTATTTTAATAATATTGAATCGAAACTTTAGGCTGTCTTTTTCACTTTGGGCAATGCGTTTGGCGTCATATCCAAGACAATGGCTTATCAAAAAAATATCAAGATGATGAAAATTTTCGTTTAAATGTGAGAAAACTACTTTCTCTACCTTTTGTTCCAGTTGTTGATGTGGTAGAAGCATTTAATCTAGTTGCTGATAATTTCGACGATGATGGTGATACTCTCCTCGAATACTTTGAAAAAACATGGATTGGTGAGAAGAAAAAACGAGGTAAACATTATTTAGTTTCATACAATTTGCTCAAAATGTATTTTTGCAGGAGCCGGAAGAAAGAAACCAAAATTTAATTATGAATTATGGAATGTATATGAACGTGTTATCAACAATCTTCCTAGATCCAATAATTCAGTAGAAGGTTGGCACAACGGATTCGCTAATCGTGTATCCAATGCTCATCCTTCAACAGCAAAACTTGCTGATAAAATTCGTCGAGAGCAATCAAAGTTTGAAATTGATATTGAAAGAATTAATCAAGGACATGAACTAAAAATGAAAAAAACAATTTATCGAAAACTTAATGAAAGAATGGTACGTGTTGTCAATATCTATGATAAGAATCAACTTGATCAATATTTGAAAAATGTCAGTGCCAATGTAATAGTTTAAAAATTATTTACTAAGTTTCTTTCCTCTGCATTTTTATATGTAGAACCCTTCCTTCTTTTTATATGTTCTGTGTACGTTTTATTTCACTTTTTTTTTCTCTCTCTCTCTTCTCATTTCTGGTACTGTTAGGATCTTAGGATCACAGTTATTACATAATAAAAAAAAAATTATTTACTAAATTTTTGTAGACAATGATTTGTTGATTCGTTGTTATACTTCTAGAATAATAAATATTTCAAAAGAACGGAATAGTTGACATATTGGAAAATGAAAACTGAATTTCTTATCTATTATTGTAGAATACAAAATTTGACGATTGCAAGATTTTGTCCATGCGACTATTTGTCCCTACAACGTTTTGTCCTGCAACGTTTTGTCCCTACAACGTTTTGTCCTTACAACGTTTTGTCCCTACAACGTTTTGTCCTGCAACGTTTTGTCCTTGCAACGTTTTGTCCATGCAACTATTTGTCCGCAACGTTTTGTCCGCAACGATTTGTCCGCAACAATATGTCCGCGACT